TGCATAGAACCAAGTAAACACACACACACACACACACACACACCACATAAATGAGTAAAAGTGAGGGAAATCTGCATAAGATTGGCGAATTGTGTTCTTGTCAATATTCTGATTATAATATCACACTATGATTTTGAGATCCAGGGGATCTCTCTGTATTACTCCTTAAAGCTGCATATAAATCTGTAAATATCTCAAAATAAAACTGTTTATAATAAAGGTAGAGACAGCTATAAAATAAAACTGAGAGCTCAGAAATAGAATCTATTAAATATCAGCTTATTATTTGATAATATATCAAGCACAAATTATTAAACAAGGGATATAATATTAAATAGTATTCAGACAACTAGACAAGTGCTTGGAAAAATGATATAATTAAAATCCTACCTTACAACCAATACCAAACATTTTAAATGAACACAAATAGAGTTCCTTAGGATGTATTATTTTTTATCCAAATAACAAAAGACATTATAACACAGAGGATGGATAGATTTAATTTTACAGAAATTTAAGACATCAACTTATAATAATATCCCAAATTCATGAAACCAAAAGAAAACTGGCACATATTTGTTACCATTATGACATGCAATTATTTTGTATTAAATAAAGGACTCATACATACTAATAAGATGCAAACACTATGATTTAATTAAAAACTGGATTTAGGCAATAAACTGGCAATTCCCTTAGATATACAAGTGGCAAGCACACAATCAAAAATGGCCCACTTCCCTAGTAATCAGAGAAATACATTTTAAAACACAATGAGACAAATAGTGCTCATGAGGCTGTGTTCACAGCCCTCATATTTTGAGTGGTAAGTGAAATATCCTTTTTAAAATCCATTTGTTAACATGTAAGTGTTTGTGTACCTACCTCAGAAATACTATAGTTATGTATTTATTCTGACAAATAATTATTAATAGGGAACATTTATATACACAAAAATATTATCATAGTAATCTGTATGAGGGGAGATTGGAAATACTCTACATTTCCAGTAGTAGGGAAAAACTAAGTATATGGTAATAACTCCACTTACTAAAATTGTCTATAGCCATTGAAAATGTTTATTATGATTAGGTAATGTTACTAGAATGTTGCAGGAAGTTGCTTATTATATGAAGAAATTAAAAGACAAAAACAGGACTAAAATTATATGTAATATTATTTCAGTTGAGTAGATATTATAAGAGAAACACTTGAACAAAATACACAAATCACTGAAGGTGGTTATGATTGAATGTTTATACTGAAGCTAGAATAACCTGTTATACTTATGTGTAATTTTAAAATGAACATTATAATAAACAATTCATTTTTAAAGAATAAATTATATGTGTTCTCCAGTACTTATGTATTAATTGTGAATTTTTCTAAAGCAGTAACATGTTTTCCAAAAGATCACCTTAATTTCATCTAAAATGTCTCTCTTCAAAAGAAACAAAGATCCATCAAATGGAATATGTGAGACAGATAATCCAGAATAGAGGTGATCCCATTTGTGCAACATTTTTGTCAAGTTTGGCATCCATTTAAAACAGGGTATCAGTATCCCTTGCACACAGAAATGTGGACATCAGAGACTGGGGGAAGAGACTTTAATGGGTTGCTTGTGTGGTAGAGCTATGTGTCCAATGGAAAGCTTAAGTGCTCAGCAGAGAATGAGTCTCAGAAGCCTAGTTCTATGGCTGGGTTCAATGTGGGAAGAGGTCATGGAGAAGATGACTGGTGGATGCTGTGGCTTTTTGGCTGAGTGATACCTGTAGTGCTCCATCAGAAATATGAAAAGTTTAGGTGAGAGAAGCCTGCTGCCTCTCAGAGCCAATACACTGGTAGCATGGCTCAGAAATAGGACAAAAACATTCCTAGGAGTAAGAGGATCAGAGAGTCACCTGGGAGGGGCCAAAGTGAACAGGGATAAACTAAGAGCAATCTTGTGAGAGCAACATTAGACCCAGTGAAAAGAGGTTACCAATGTGAGGCATAGTAATTAAAAATGCTAACCTGCCTAGACAAGACAAGTTTGACACTTGTCCTCTTTTCCTCCTTGGATAAAATTGTCCCAATTATAGGGGATGGGGTATAGCTCAGTGGTAGAGTGCCTACCTAGCTTGCATGAAGCTCTGGGTTCAATCACCTTCAAAAAAATTGTTCCATTTATAAATTCTATAATTTGAGAAATTATTCCAGGTGAAGAAAAATGAAACAACTGAAGTCCCTCTTGTATTAGACATTGATGTCACTTTTTTCAAAAGTGAATGACTTTAGAACTCTTTTTATCTCTTGAAATTACAGCCATAGAAACATTGCCAGTTACACTGGAGAGAATGAAAACCATCATGTTCATAGCCGGCCTTCTGAATTCAGCAGAGCCATGCATTTCAACGGTGTGCCAGTTTGTATTATTTCCTTCACTTGCCTTTAAAGGCAGATTACGATACCAGTTCCTGCTCTACAACTTCCCTACCTTAGGTTTTGTTAAATTTCTTCACTCTACAATGGTCCTTGCTACTGGTACTGAACTAACACAAAACAAGACAATCCTGTTGTGGTACATATATCTTAGGAGGCTTTCAATTGGCAGCAGTAGAGATCTGATTCAACGTACCTTAACCTACAAAGCAATATAATAATTTATATAACAGGAGGTACAAGGTCAGGTTGCTCTAGTGTTCGTTGTTCTAGTAATTTAATAATGCAGCCCCATGTTTCTTCTTTCTTTTGGTTGTGTTGCCTTCAGCACCACCTCCCTCCTGAACCTAGTTCCACACGACCATCTATCCTGATTGGCTGGGAAGACCCAGTTATGTTTCTTTCCCTGACACAATTATAAACAGCACTCTTTCACTCTCAGTAGTGTCCTGGTTTACATGATCCGTTATTATACAGTAACTTGCATAGTGGTTTTGCTGCCAATTGCTGCTAATGGGGTTACATTATCCTCACTTCCACTGGGAGAGGGTGGGATGCCCGTCTAGAGAGTAGGAACTTACCAATGAGCCTCTGGCAAATCTTTTCTCTCATCCATTTGACCCAAATGATAGTAGAAGAGATGTAATCTTTCTGAGATCAAACAGATCCACCCTAAAGCTAGGATCAAATTCTAAGGCACATAATTTTCACAGGAGAGAGATGGGTATCTGAACATTAGTATTTGGCTGAGAAAGGAAAATGAAGAACACAGAGTGGAGTGCTACAAGCAAATCCTTTTATAATGAGCCGGTTTCTTACTTGTGATAATTTCCCAAAAAATTCTGTGAAAGAAAATGATGCACTGATTGTGAGACTAGAAGGAGCCACACCTGGATTCTGAGAGACCTTGATGCAGGGGGAGGGGTGGTATTTTACTCTGGCATGTACCCTAAAACTATAAAGTGATAGCTCTTTAGTATACGCTTATTCATTACTTAACTGAAGGGGCAACTAAAAAATCCTTTGATTTAGTCTTTGCTAATTTTATCCCAAGGATGTCATACAATTCATATGAAATCCTCAAATGAAGGGTATTGAATCCCCCCCACCACATCCCATGTAAACCAGACTAGACATCTTCATTCTATCAAATGTCAAGTCCTTTCCCTTACCCCATGGGTTCTGCATATTCCTCATGTAAAAATGTAGTTTAGGCTGGGCTGTTTCTCAGAATGCCTTCCACCCTCCTTCTCTAAGCCTGGGTTTCAGGTCAATCTTCCGTGTTTCAATTACCCCTTGCATTTTCTTCAGCATCATCCCTTTACATTGCTTTGTTGAGCATTTATGTTTTTGCATTATGATATATTTCCAAATGCCCGCCTTTTTAAATAACCCAGTAAATATTATGAACCATCAAAATATTTTAAAATGAACTTTCAACTTTAAGTACATGTTTTGTTTTAAAGGGAAGAATAATAAAAATGAACAATAGCAAAACACCAACAACATAGACAAAAACAAAACAAAGCAAAACCAATAAAAATGATACAGGGTTTTAGAACAAAATGATAGGAATTAACAGTGGTTGTTATATTACATATTGTTATCTTCATTGAAGTTGCTCAGATTACCAGATGTAAGAATGCAAGATTGATCCAACTATTAAAGAGAATAAAAAATAAAAACAAAAAACCCACTAGAAATGATACAGAGAAACCTTAGTAAAATATAGACCACTTAAGACTCTTTTGAAAGCAATGGACATTTTCCTCAACACATTCAAATTCAAGAACACTAAACAGGCCTCCACATCGCTACAACTTTAGGACTTTCAGAAACCTCTTGAGAACCCACATGATATTCATACAGGTCAAGTCAAGTTGCTGTACCACAGCATGATGGCCTCAGAGACCACTCAATTCACATATGTCTTCTGCAGAACTCATCAACACCCACTTGTTCAAGCTCCACGCAAGGCCTAAGAACTCCAAAATCTAGGTCTCCACTTTGATTTTGAACTCCAGACCTGCTCTTCCAGTGCCTACCGGACATCTCCCACTGGCTACCCAACAGGCACTTACAATTCAAGATGTCCTAATAGAACTATCTGGAACACATGCTGATGGCTACCATTTCAATGTACTCCTCAGACATTCAGCTGCCAGGATTTTCTCTCTGTACTTGAGAAAGACCTCCTGCCTATGTTGGGTGGCGGGTCAGAATCGCCAGAAAATCAGCACCCCCTGGATAGTCCTCAACTACCTTCCTTGTCCTCAACTATAGTCCTCAACTGCAGAACTTTGTTTCAGTATCTGCTTCTGGAGAGCCAATGATATTCGTCATCTCCACCTCCAGATTGGCTTCTCTTCTTAGGGACCTCTATCTAGTGATCACACCCCCACCCCACACCATCACCTGAGTCTTCCATCCTAACTTGCTTCTTCCATCACTAAACCCTACATCCCCAGTACAACTTGACTAAAGTTCTACTCTTCATCCCTCCGAGTACCACCCTGACTCAAGCCCTCATCACAGCAACAACCTCTCTTACCTGGTCTCCTCGCTGGCAAACTCACCTTCTTCCAGTCAGCCCTCCGTACTGAGCAACAGAGTGATCATTCCTCGCTTGAAATCTTTCCTTGTCACTCCATTGTTTAACATCTTTTAATAGTTCCCACTGACTACAAGAGAAAGCTCTATTAAGGGAAAGAACAGCACCCTCAAATGACTCCAAGCTGCTCCCACCCAATTATTCCCGACAGCCTCTACTCCAAGTTCAAAGTATTTGTAGATTCTAGAATATGCTCTGCATCCAACGTTTAGTGCCTTCTGTTCCCTTCACTAATAATGCCTTTCCCTTTATGTTGCAAAACTCCTATATATCTCTTAGTACTGAGTAACTGTTTCCAACTCTGGGCAACCTTTCCTTACTTCTCTGACCATGCCATTACCCACTGCCCATTACAGCCAAGGGCCCACTCCTTAGGTGTTCACCTAGCCCATTTCATAACTCATGTACCGTGGAGCATTGCAGTGTGCTGTTACCAGTTTATTTATTCATCTGTAAGCAAACTGGAGTCAGAACCATATATTAACCATTTTTCTAACCAAAATCTCTAGCTCAGTGACTAAATAGCAAGTAGATGCTGAAGAGATGTTTATTGAAGAAATGAATGAATCACCCATCTGGTAAGCATGTGAAAACTAGAAGAGACGCTGTGTTACAGAAACAGAAAATAGATAAAAGCATCCGACCTGATATGGGACTTTTCCTGGATCCTCATCTAAAACCACCAAATATTAGAATTTCAGATCTCAAAAATCACCCTCACCCACCCTGGAAAGTTATTGTTTTTCCTGCTGTTCGGGGATGTCTTTCCTTCCCTCCATTTTCTCAGCCACCTCTTTATAGGGATGAACACATTTCTTCCAGATTAGTATCACATTTCATCCCAAGGTACCTTCTGTCCCCCCGCTTCCCAAATCCACACCTGCCCTTTATGGACCCCTCTTTTTATTCTTTGCTCTGTAAGGGCAGTCACAGGGCTGGGGATTTAGCTCAGCGGCAAAAGCGCCTGCCTGGCAAGCGCAAGGTCGAGAGTTCGGTTCCCAGTACCGGAGAAAAACCAAAAAAAAAAAAATTGCTATTGTGTAAGGGCAGTCACAGTGGAAATGCAGAAGGGTGCAATTATATATTGCTTTGGGAATGGGGCCCATGATGCCTGTTTATTATGCCTTAATCTGAATCAAGGGGATATTTTCTGAAAACATAAGTACCTCAAAGGGCAGCAAATATGAATCACAACTGCCAGAAAGGATCAAACATTAACCCAAGTTTGTGATGAGGCCAACAAAAGAAATAGACTAGTAATTGCCTTCCAGGATATCAATCCCTACCTTGTGCACACAAACCCTCTCAACACACACAGAACCTTTATGGACTTTTCATCCATGAACTTGACTAATTATAATTGCCCAGCAGTGTCTTTAGTTGTACTCAAGATAAATCCTGGCAATTGAGACCTCACATAACTGATTCAAGAACTCTAAAAAGTTATGCAACCTACAGAGAAAGTCTTTGGCTACTGAAATGACTGAAGACAGTTATAGATAACTATTTCCACAGGTTTCATTACTTACTCGAGACTGATATAAAACCCCTAAGGCCTGATTGACACAAGCAAGAACTAGTACTTGCTGTTGGTATTCACTGTTATCAGTTCTCACACATATATTGCGGATATCTCTGTCCCTGTGTTGACTGGGTTCTTCTTAATTTAACTCTTTCTTTTTAAGTGAGGAAATTTTGTTTTGAGGACTGGTACTACCAGGGCCAAATCCTACCACACAGAGTGAACACATGCCTAGGGGCCCACAGCACTTTAGGGACTCATAGGAATCTCTTAATTTCTTTTAAAATTAGAAGAACAAAAGATTCTTTAAGTTGAAAAAATGTTTTAACATATAATAATATGTCTGTCTTTACACTAACGTAAAATGTAACTTTTAGTATCTTTTCATGGAGGAAAGAGTCCACAAAGGCACAAGTGCTCACAAGTCATAATCTGGCTCCAGTTACTACCACACTAGGCTTGCATCACATCATGTTTACATTAGACCCTTTCAGATACAAATTCGGGTTCCCATACTAGTTATAAACTGGACAGGCCGCTACAAAGGGAGATCAAAAAATGCGGTGAATGTTTCATTTTTTTACACATCTTATATATTTATAAATAGCTATGTTTCTGCTTACTTCTTTACTTTTTTCTTTTATGAAAACAAGGTGAAACAAAATTTTTTAACAAAATAATAGGCAAATAACAATCGTTAATATGTTACATGTTTTTATCTTTCAAGTAGTTGCTCAGGGTACTACTATCATAGTAAAAGACACATTGCTATTAATTTCCCCTCAAATTACTTCTCACTTTGAGCATACTTACCCCGTTGTTCTTGTCACCTTGTGAAGCAGTTCTGGAAATCGACTTTTGTGAGTGCCTTTAGAAGTATGATCAAAAGTACAGTGGATGCTGCTGCTGAGCGCCATCCAATGGAAAGGAAGGTTCATAAAAATATTATAGTGTATCATCATGCATTTCATTCACCAGATCTGGCACCATGCAACTTCTGGCTCTTCCCCAAAGTCAAAATGACCATGAAAGATAAACGTTTTGAATCTACACAAGAAAAGAAGAAATAGGACTTCCAAAACTGCTTCAGAAAGATGAGGTAAGTTTGTTTGAAGCAAAGGTGGGTATTTTGAGGGATTTAGGCAAGGTTCTTTACTGTAGTAATTGTTTTTTAAAAAATTTAGTATTCACTGTATTTTTCAACCACACCTCATAATTATTTCACGCTCTTGTGGGCACTCTAAATTCTGCAAAAGAGAAGTCATAATTAATACACTGTGTTGGGACTTCAGGGGATCTGAGTGTACAAAGAATAGCTAGATTTGTACTGGTTTGTGTTCTGCTTAACCTTAAGTCCTGTGCTACCTACCATTCTCTCAAAAATCTTCATCCTGTTTGATTAATAGGAAAAATACCTCTATAGCTTTAGAATTTAAGTAAACCACTGTAGTCTCTTCCCTTGCTTTCTGAAAATGTTTTAAGGATTTAGATTTAAAACATTTTGATAATACTATTGATACTTATAATTTATTTACTGGTCAGCAATCAAATATTCATCTTCTGTCCAGTTCATAGCCCAGTGTCTGGCAAACACTAAGTGCTTAATAAATGCTACATTAATACATGAGTCATCTCTTGAATAGGAATTAAATTCTACCCGTGAAATAATTTTGTCTTTACTAATCTCCCACCTTGTGAGAAGAATCTTTGACCTGGATCACAATGGACATTTTAGGGTGATCGCGATCTCTTATTTCCATCTCCCTCACCTCCATTATCCAGCCCTTGCCTCCCTCCTGGGCTTTCCCTTCATCCTGTCGTCTGCAATGATCCCAGGCTCTCAGAGAGGCAGTAGGGTCCCCGCTCTTCAGACCACCCAGCCTTGTGTCCCAACCCTCCAGCCCGGTGGCCCCGGCTCCCCTTCCTCCTGCCATCCTGTGCCGCCCACAGCCACGCCCTCCCCGTGGGCGCGATCACCTGTCCCTCCTCTGCTGCCTCCTCCTCGGGTACCCTTTCGCCCCCCTCCTGCTCCCTCTCCTCCGCCACCTCCCCCAAGCCCTCCCCTTCCCCGCCTCCTCCCACCCCTTGGTGTATATAGTAAAGGCCGGGCGCCGCACGCAGACACACACTCACCCGGACACAGGCGCACAGACGCTCGCACACAACCGGCAGCGGCGGCGACAGCGGCTGGGTGACAGTGGAGACGGAGGCTCCCACAGCTGTGCACCCCCTTCAGGCGGCGAGCGGCGAGGCCAGACCGAAGAGTTCCCGCACCCGCGACCACCCCGCGGCTTCCTGGAGGCGGCGGCCCCGATTGCGAGGTAGCGGCCGCGGCGCCCCCGGGGTCACCCCCGCCCTCCCCGGGCGGACC